CAGCATAAACATTAACCCCCTAATCATCCATCCTTGTTTTCTTTTGATAATATCAGTTGGGAATACCCTTGTCGACTGTTTTGCCTCTAGGGATACAGTGTTCTGTTAAATATCTCTATAATTCTTTATAAATTAGTTTCCTTTATTGACACTTTTGAGCTTGCTGCTTATTACAATAATTACCCTCCACTTGGATTGGCTTCTGATCCTTAAGTGTTACAGCTTGGTCTCTATTGTCCTATTGTCTCCCATCATTGGGCTCAGTTCTGTTACAGTTTCTCCTGCCATCAGCTTTGGTGGAGGACAGCTACAAAATTCTTAGTGATGCTAGTGTCTTTCCCACCATCATATTCTTCATGGCTTTGGTAATTGCCATATCCTCTGGCCCCTTCCATAGATAAAATGGCCTGGTGGGTTTTCTGGTATTACATAGTATATATATTTCAGCTTGTGTACGTTTTTAGACTGTTAATCACTGCCTTTACTGTTTGCTATGCCAATTCTGGCATTTTGACCTTATTTAGCATGGGGTATATTTTTCATGTTTTCCATGTTTCCAGGAGTCATCAAAATAGCAAGTTAACATCACCTCTGGTGGCATCCTTGTCAGAAAGGTAAATCCTGCATCTTGGGAGAATGCTTTCAAATCAACAAACTCCGTAATCCAATTATAAGGTTCTGGCCCCCTTGATAAAGCTCCCCTCTGAATCTCATACCACCTGTACTCCCTCACCTCCTATCAACAGTTACCCTTCCTCATACTTTTCAAGCATCTAGTACTTCACTCCTGCTATACTATTTGCTTCCATTGGCATGCCTTCCTGATTTACCACTGGTTTATATTTTTGCAGTTTCTCGATGGCCACTTTGTGCCAAGGGCTATCTGTGCTCCACCTACCACCAATGATGAGTTTTTTATTGCTAGCCTGGCAATGTATGATCCAGCTCTCAAACTCCAACTTATTTCTTACTTTCTTATATCATTCCTGAAACAAGTCAGAGTTTGAGTTCTCTGGAAAGCAGACTCTGAGGTAGAGTTTAGTATTCATGATGTTAATTGGGAGTACCCTTACAATCAATGCCTTTGCAAGAGATAGAGGGATGAAGCAGAATTGGACAAAGGGAGAAGTTGAGTTTTGATGCTGGATGGGTAACCTTAGTCAACCATGTAAGGATTGACTGAAGGCAAAATAATTGGTCATCCTTCTCTCATGTTGGACTGGAATGGCCAGGCCTTTATGCTGCCACATGGATCAGTCATTGGATATGGGTCATTCTAGGAAATGTGTGCCCTTGAGTGAAGTGGGCCTCTGTCCCTCAGGCAGTTTGTGAGGTCAGCTTGCAACTGACTATTCACTGATAGCACTACTGGCAACCCAGACAACAAAATTTTTTTTTTTTGAATGATGATATGGGCAGCATGTATCCATGTCTAACAGAAATATCCAAACTTCAGATGATTAACACCAAATAAAATTTATTTTTCACCCATTATACATGTTCATCATTGGTTGGTAGGGAAGATTTAAAAAAAAATTTTGTCATCATTTAGGTACCCAGGCTGACAGAAGACTGTGTTAATAGGCTTCCACAGAGTCTTTCATTGCTAATTAAATGCCTCCAACCAGAAACACATATTGCAGTAGCTTGCATTACATTGATACAACCAACCTCTAGTGATTGTAGGAATATAATTTTATCTTGTGCCTGGAGGAAAGGAACTGAAATATTTTGTTGAACAGCACCAACATCCATAAAAAATATTGTATATAATTCTTTTTTAAACTTTTAGTGTAATTGAAGATGATGTATTGGAGATAGTAATAAAGCTGTCACTTCCTATCACTACATGTGTTAAAAGGCAAAGAACTTCTGGAAGTAGAATTATGTTTTATTATTTGTCTATATTAATTTCCCTCATGTATAATTACATTACTATTACTATACTGTAATGTTTCTCTTCTGCAAGGATGTGTGTGCTTTAAAAACCAAACCAAACCAAACCAGAACATGACTGAGAGCATAAGCACTATTTTGTAAACAGTGGGACTAAATGAAAGTATACATATTAAGAGTGAAACCCTCTTGCTACTTTCATACACTTAGGTCCTTTCTAAAATGCTTTTAGTCCGATTTATGGTTTCCAGGCAGGAGACTGGAAAATTACCTGAAGGAGTCTGACCAGTTTAAGAGAAAGCATGTATAAATACAGACATTTGGAGATTTCTAACTGAAATGGTCCCACTTGATCAGAATCCTAACAGTCAACATGTCCTTCCTAAGCACAAAATTCCTAATGACTTTTGTAGTGCCTCACTCTTAAATTTGCAGCCAGTTATTTTGACAATTACAAAAAGTTATTAAATTTTACCAAAATGTCTAATGTGGGAAAAAATAAGAAATTAGAGAAAATGGAGCTAATATATGGAGAGTATAAATTAAATCTTTATGGATAGAAGATGTTCCATTTGTGAAGCAAAATGTGAGATTTTAATAAAAATGGGTAATTCAGAAAAGGAAAAAAATGGGCTCTTGGAAATTTGCATTAGGAAAACAAATCAATGATTTGAAGATAAAGTAAAGAATTTCCATTAAGCATTATGAACAATGGACAGACGTAAAGTAGGGTAAAAAGTAAGAAATTTAGATGATTATTCCAGAAAACTTTATATCTGAGTAATAGAATTGAAAAAGCAAAAAACATGACATTTTACATAGAAAGGAAATTATCAAGTGAATAATTCAAAAAATATGTTTGGGATTGAAGTACACAAATTTTAAGAAGAAAAGAGCCTACTGAACCCCAGAAGAATGAATATGAAAGACTCATAGCAAAGCTCATTACAAAGAGGCAAAAGGAACCTTAAAACTTCTAGAGAGAGAAAAGAAATGGTACAAATAAATCATAAGACTCAATAGCATAGCACCTTAAAAAGCAATACTAGAAGCCAGGAGAGTGGACTAATATCTTTGATATTTGAAAATGCTTTCCATGTTAGAATTCTAAAACCAATCAAATAATGCTAAAAGTGTTAGAGTGGAATAAAGTCATTTTTTTAGAATTGCAGAATTACAAAAAATACACCTTCAACGTACACTTTATTTAGTTTAGGTTTATATCACCTATTGAAGTATGAGATTAAATAAATAAATAAAAACAGAAAAAATAAAATCTAAGAAACAGAATATATAACAGAGGAGAAATATGGAGGGAATCCTTATGATGCTGTAATAGGCCTAGAGAGCAGTTTAAGTTCAGATTGGGAAAGAAAGATGGAATTTCAGAAGGGATGTCTTTAGAAAGTAAATGAAATTGCCAGATAACTTGATGTATTAGCAGATATTGAGAAGAAATGTACACATCTGGCAAAGGGTTGTGGGAGAATTAGCAGTAGATATATAGGAAATTAAGCAAAAAAGTGAAAATATAGTTTGTGGAGAAAATAAGTTATTAAGAAAAATATAGTATGTAATTTGGCTTATCTGTGAATAATACCATATAATAAAACTGAACATTAGCTGATAGTGGTGATGTGCAACTATAGTTCCAGAAACTCTGAAGGCTCAGACAGGAGGATCACGTGAGCCCAGGAATTAATTTAGACTAGCCTAGGCAATATAGCAAGACCCCATCTCTAAAAAGACAAATAAGAAACTGACTATTGCTCTAAACAAAATTATAATATAAATGTACAGGGAGAATGAAGAAAGAGGAAGTATGTGTGTGCAAATCTATGTAAGAGCTTAATCTTCACCTTCTGAAGAAGGAACTCAGGCAAATTATCCGAAAGTGGGAACTAAGCATGCTATTTAGAACAAATGAAATTACAAAAACAAACAAAAGATACAACTCTTTCTAGCTATTTATTTAGAATTAAAAGTGCTTAACTCCATTATTCTGGAATACGTTTGGGAAGACAGGGGGCAGTGGATTTTGTGTGTATGTGTGTGTGAGAGAGAAGCCTTGTAGAAATATTTGACTTTTGAGCTTCACACATGTCTATATTTAAAAATGATAAAATAAAAGCAAACTGTAACAATACAGAAATTAAATGATGCACAAGTTAGGTCAAGGATAAATGTTCAAAAATTGGGAAATTTGGTGCATGGACATATACTTGGAAATATCTGGAAAGTATGATATATGGGAAAAATTAAGTTTGATGCTTACCACATATACAAAAATAAGTTCCAAAGAGATTGAAGACCAAAATAGTAAAAGCCAACTGAAAAACCTTTAAAAGAAAATTAGAGATTATTTAAAAAATCTCAAGTTACTGAATAAACAAGTACAGATCATAACTAAAAATATGACCAATTTTCCGTAGAACAGGATTTGATAAACTAAGTGAAAAAAGAAGTGGTAGTGTGGAAGAAATTAGTGTTGAAATTATATACATTTTTCTTAATTACTTTCCATAGTTTTTATATAGTTAGTGGATTTTTTATGATTTTTATTTTTTATCTAGAAGTTTTGCAATTAAGATAATTTCCTTCTACATAAAAAAGCCTTTCTTTTGAAATATCAAAACATTAAAGTAATTTAAATATTTTATCCTGATGATTATATTTTTAGGTATTCTTTCAGTGAACATTATAGATACCATTACTTTTGTATGCATACATGTAATATTTAATTTAGTATTTAACTTTCAGATAGGTATGCCCTAAACTGATATTCATATTTTACTTGGTATATTTAATAAAACTATGTCTTTAAAAATATTCCAATATAAAATACGTCTAAGTTCATTCCTTTCATTTTCTTGTTCTCATATACTTAAAATTACTTATGAGAATTTTAGGCAACAGTTATTTTTATTTAGGGAATAATGCTAGTTGAGTAATTATACTAAATTGTAGGTCATGGAAAATTAATGAAAAAAAATTTTTTTGCTTCCTGCTTGTACATAGTATATCTTTAATTTGGCGAGTGATTTATTTATATTATTTGTCTTGTTTATTCTTTTATTTCATTTGTTTTGTTTTCTTTTTTCTAGCTTGTGATGAATGGAAAATACTACCAAAACCAAATCTTCATAGAGATGTCAACCGATTTGGACACTCTGCAGTAGTCATTAATGGGTAAAAGAAGCACATTTCCAATTTTTAGAGAGTCACGGATATCAGTCGTACTATCCTCATATTCTGGTATTCTTCTAGAAAATTATCATTGGCACTTAATGGTATTGGATTTTATGTATCTCTGCTCTACCACAGAATACATTTTGATTTGTTAATCATATCCTTTTTTCCTTTTTTTGTTTAATATACTTAAGGGACAGGGGAGTAGTTAAAGGAAAGGTGCTGAGATAAAACGTCAGATACCCTTTTAAGTCATCCTGCCTTCTTTTATTTTTCCAGAGATCAGATAAGGAATGTCTTTTCTTTTAAAGAGATGGAATTGAAATGATAGAGAGGCTAGCCCCAAATTTCTATCAAGGAGAACAAGGAAAGTGAGAAGAATTAGATTCTCATTTTAGTTCTGTCATTTATTAAATGGGTGATTTTTGACAAGTCTTTTAACCTCTTTGGATCTTAAACTCCTTATATCCATTGGGAAATTGGACTCAGTGGTCATTACATTGCTTTCCCCATTTAAGTTAATATAATTTTTGTATTTCTATGACAAAAATTTGGTAATTTGGAATCCAGTGACAGTAAACAATCTGCTAGCTCATTTAGTAACTTAACATTTGTAAATCAGAATGACCTTTTTATAAGTTAAATTTATTGCCACCTTATCCTAATTAAGTAAAAATTATCCACTATTGCCATAAATGACTTAATCATAATTAAACTGTGTAACTTTTATCAATTGGCTGTCAAAACACTAATAAATGAAAATTGTGAAACATAAAACCTCTAGGGTTCTCTGGTTGATTTTTATTTTACTTTTTAAAATAATGAAATAATTCTTGAAGTATTTTTTGACTGATTAAATTTATTAATAATATTTTTGAGATTAAAAAATAGTGCTGTTTTAAGGGCATCTCAAATGTTTTTGGCACTGGCTGGTATTAATTTAGTATTGTCTAGGCTTCTTTTTCCAAACTGATATTTTAAAGATCTTTTTGATTATTTTACTCTTAGTCTTCTTATTTTAAAAGAATGAAACATCATAAGAAGAACTCTGTGTCTAATTTCAAAATTCTATGTCTATTTTGAAAAATTATAATTCCAGATAGTAGTTCTAAAGTGTGTCTTGTCCATGTGTAGCTATTATCTATTTTTTAAAATATTGTTTTCTACTTTATTAAAAACAATACTTATTTTTCTGACAAAAGCAATGTTGTATATAATCCTTGTTTCCTTTCTTGCACTAATAATAAAACATGTTTTGAAGACTTAATGTTTTCTTAATATGTTAAGATTTATAGATATTTCATATTTTATTTGAAAAGTCTTCAAGAAATTATATAGTAGTTTCTCTGGTGTTTTTATATCATATGTTAGAAATATGATTTTACAGAACAGTACTAACAGAAGCAGTTAAAAATAGTATAAAATGTATATTTAAACCTATGCTTATTTTTATAACTAAATCATAGAGACTTTTAATAGCATTTCTTTAAGATTCTTGTTTTGTTTTTAATAGGTCCATGTATATATTTGGGGGATTTTCTAGTGTACTCCTTAATGATATCCTTGTATACAAGCCTCCAAATTGCAAGGCTTTCAGAGATGAAGAACTTTGTAAAAATGCTGGTCCAGGGATAAAATGTGTTTGGAATAAAAATCACTGTGAATCTTGGGAATCTGGGAATACTAATAATATTCTTAGAGCAAAGTGCCCTCCTAAAACAGGTAAATTTCTTTTCCTCCTTCTGGCAGCAAAATTTCTCTTCTACAGAAGTATCTTCTGCTTATAAGAATTACTTTAGTAGCTACAGAAAGGAAAATTTTATAATATCCTAATTAGGAATTCTAATGTTTGAAGCTAGTGATGAATTATTTAATAAATTTACTTGCTGTTTTTCGCTTTATTTTTGAAATCTGTATGTATAGTATACATATCAATATTTTATATGTAACATACTCATATGTGTGAATTATTTTATAATACATTTAAAATGCTTTCCAATACATCATTTCTAAGAAATACTGTGAGATTCAAAGAAATAAAATGAAAGAATTTATTTTCTATGTGGTATTATTTTTTCTTCCTGAATTATTGCCAAACCATACCATATGAAAAAAATTTTCTAGCATTTGATGACTAATGACCTGGTTTTATATTTCTTATAAAATGGTGAATAGATAAGTGAGACTTATGAAAAGCTACCAGTTAATTATTAGTCAACTAGCTAATTAATTATTTGGATAAATATTGTTTGTTTTTTATAAATGGTGAGGATTTTTATACATTTTTGAGGCTACAATTAATAAATGTATTTTTAAGTTTTGCTAATCTATATTAATTCAGACACCTTTAGGTATCTTTAGAAAGAATGATAAACAGTATTTGTTATGATGTTTTCTTTTGTTTGTTCAGTAAAA